TGACTGTGTAAATCTCTCTGTCATTTCAGGCTTAACTAACCAATTCCACTTCCTTTCTTAAATTTTCAGTTTATTTCATGTTGGACATACTCTTATATACCTTATACCTCTATTTTAACAAGTTATATAATACTCTGTATAAAATTACTCAGTTACATAATTAGTCCCAAGGTATTTTGAGTTCCCAGAAGACAAATTTATGTGGTTCTTACAGATCGTGGCATTCCCTGCACTTATGCAGCCAATGTCTGACTTGCAGATGATGCTGAATGCTATTGGCTTAATTAATGTTTCACCTGTCCTGGAAAGGCAGATGAAAATAATGTTTTGATTAGTGAAGTAGGTGGGTCTGATTAATCATGTGATATGAATATACTCAGAGGGACCAGAAAAATCATTTAATGAGGAAAATGACCAAGGGTATCACCAGGAAGCAGAGAGAGACAGAGACATTTAAAAGCCACTGGTGGCCATGAGGGAATTAGGGGATGAAGTAAAAGATTTTTTTAAAAAAGGTTTCTCAGCTATGAACAAAATTAATTCCCTGAAGGTCTTCTGCCTGTAAATAATCCTTAGACCCTGCTATCAACATTATAAAATGAGTTTTTGAAAAGCATTTCTAGGCAGAGGAAATAACTCTCCCCAATATAGATTATTTTTGAATTGCTAAAGAATAAATAGTAATACCCAGAGCACCTGATATGTATATGAATTTGTGGTCCTTTTAGAAGAAAGGATGTACATTGCCTTTATGTACATCAACCCAAAGTTTCAACTCTCTTTATAATCAGCTGGCGGTCAATTGAGACTCTCATGTGACTCTCTGACACAGTCGAGATAGATAAAGTAGCCAGGATGGTTGTCCCAGAATTTGGATTTTCCTCCTATAGAGAATGACTGCAGTCTGAACTTTGGATACAATTTTTTAAACTTGAAAAATATGTTGAAAAACTGAAAAGATGAAGAAAGTACAAATACTAAGTAAATCTGTTTCACAGTTTTATTATTTGATTTGTTTTATATAACTTTCTGTTTACTTTGTTTATATACAATTAATATTTTAATTCCCTTTCCTAGATAGTTGATATGGTTTGGCTGTGTCCTCACCCAAATCTCATCTTGAATTGTAGCTCCCATAATTCCCACATTGTTGTGGGAGGGACCTGATGGGAGATAATTGAATCATGGGGCAGATCTTTCCCATGCTGTTCTCATGATAGTGAATAAGTCTCATGAGATCTGATGGTTTTAAAAAGGGGAGTTTCCCTGCACAAGCTCTCTTCTCTTGTCTGCTCATATGAGACATACCTCTTACCTACCACCATGATTGTGAGGCTTCCCCAGCCACATAGAACTGTGAGTCCATTAAGCCTCTTCTGTAAATTGCCGAGTTTCAGGTATGTCTTTATCAGTGGTGTGGAAACCAACTAATACAAAGTAGTGCAGTTTGTTGTTTATTTGGTTTTGTTCTGTTTTTATATATTTTCCAGCTTTATCCTCCTTTTTGTCATCCTTTTCTTTGTTGCCATTATGGTTTGGAAGTTTCATATTTCAAGTAGTTACCTTTAAATCATTGATACTGGATCTCTCTTATTCTATTTGTAAAAATGAGATTAGATTCACTAGTTTTCACAGTGTCTTCAATATTTGGAATCTCATGACTCAGTGATTCTATAAATAATAATGAGATCAGACTTTTCAAACTTTTTAAAGGTTATTGAAAGAGAGAGATGGGAAGCCTTTAAAATTGTTTTCACAACGTCTTTTATAAGTGCATAGCACAAATGTGAATTTGAAAGTTTTCGTGTTTTAGTATGAATTTTAATGGGATGGCAGGAGTTGTACTGGAATTGGCCAACAACTCTAGAGAAAGAAGGGGCTGTAATGAATTGTGTCTAAAAACAAACCTCGCTTCTCCCAGTACTGGAATGGTGCAGAAGACGGTAGTTCCTCCTATGACTCATGGTGCGGTAGAAAGATGGAGTAGAGGAGGCGGGAGCTGTAGGCTCCCAGCACGCTGCAGGCAATGTGATGGTCTATCCGGAGAGGGCATTGCTGGAATGGAGTACTAGCCACTGTCAAAGAAACAGGTGGCCCCTCTCTAAGGGTGTCCTTCAGAGGGGATTGGAGTAAAGCTGAACTTTACTCCAAGTAATCCAGGTAAATAGGGAGGCAGACAGAGAGAAAAAGACACGAAGAGGAAGGGAGGGAGGGTGGGAGGAAGGAAGGTAGGAAAGAAAGGAAGAAGTGTGGAAAGGAGGGAGGGAGGGACTAAGAGGTAAGAGATAATTGAACTGATTTAATCTATGTTAGCAATTAAAGACTGAAAAATCCTATAATACAAAATTTTACTTATTTCAATCCTTAATTTGATAACTGATTTAACCACTAAACCCAGTTTTGCATGGAAAATCTATTAATTACTGGGATACAATTTAGGAACTGCTGGTGTAGACAAGTAAAGAACATGTTTGGTAGAAAGGAGACATGAAATTACCCTGAGAATCTGTGAATATACGATGATTCTCAGGATACTTTTTGGGTTATTTCAATCCCATGATTGGAGCAAGCACACAGCCAAATAACATCCACGTTTGGGGAACCTCGTGTTTTACACACACTCACTCCTGCTCTTCTTGGTCCTCTCCCTATTTTTCACTTCTGCAAAAGCCTCCCTGTGTCTCTGTTTAATGTAAAATTAGGAGCACTCTTCATTTACTAAGCACAGGTATATACTTTCAGTAACTAAAGAAAGAAAAAGTACTTTTAAGAAAAAAACATAAATAAAAAATTATAGCTAACCTAGCACTTGGTATTCTATGAGGATTAAATTCTTTGCTTCTTTTAGGTAATTTTACAGAGTATATATGTGTGTATTCAGTGCCAGAAATATTCATTCAAAGAAACCTTAAAATCTCCTAAGAAAGTTCTTTGTGTGATTGTCCTCAGGTGCCTCGTGCTGTAGTGAGATTTTGACCAGGAAGGACAGTTTGAACCCGAGACCTCGCTTAGACTGTAGTGAACAAAGTGCATACCTTTCTTTTAATCTTTCTGCATGTACAGAATGAGTTACTTAGTCCCTTATAGGGTTTTATCAGTGTGTGAATACTGATAAGATGATGGCACCTGCTTGTTATATCTTGCATTTTCCATAGGTTTCCTTAACTCTCTTTTATCAAGACTTTTCAGCTGTCCTAAAGTCTAATACTATTAAAAAATATTTTATTCCCTGGGGAATAAAAAAAAAGAAGATGGTAAACTATGATTTCTTTATCAAATGTTGATGAGAGGGATTATATGGGGAAAAATAAAACTCTTCCAAATACCTGGCTTTGTCTGAAATAAAATTTAGCTTGACTGTTTATGGAGCCTAAAATTTCCTTAAACAAGTGACATACAAGATAGTGAAGAGAGCCCTCCCTGCTCCAGCCTTAAAGCCATGCTATTTTATTTTGTTTTATCTGTATTTACTGAACCCATTATTATAAACTTAATTCAATTTGTTTGCATATTTATTTACCCACTATATACATTGATGAGTAGATATACAAGACAAGATGAAGAGAAACAGTTGCATGGAAACCATTGTTCATCTAATCCAAATGTTTGAACACCTCAACTTTTAAATTACTCTTTTTCACCCTTTCTCTTTCTTCATCCCCCAAACAAAGCATCCTTTCTGCGTATCCAGAGATTGCTTGCTTGCTGACTATCAGAAAAGAGAACAGAAAAAGTCTTGCCTAAAGGAGAGCCATATAGCTTAGAACTAAAGAAGAAAGATGGGAAATGTGGAGTTGTGTGGGGAGTCCTGTGAAAGGAACGAGCACTACGTTTGCTTATAGAGTAAGCCTATTTCATGATGCCAACAGAACTTTCCCAATTCTCTTCCAAGGAACTTACACTCCTCCTTCAATCAGAACTGACCATGGGGCATCTTTTAATCCCACTGTACACTTTCTCACCAGGTTTGCTCTTGTTCTCCCATGGTATGTTGCCATGGATTGCCTTCATCTTCTCTTTCTACTTATACAAATATGCCCAGGTGGAAGCATTCTTGGAATGTTCCATTTGAAAGATAAAATTTTCTCTTAATTCATGTATTGCTTAACTGTCAATCCTAATGGGAAAGGTTGAGAAAAAAAGTCTGAGAAATACTGAGAAAAAAAAAAAAAGGAATACTAAGAAAAAAATAAATATTGAGAAAAAAAAAAAAAGCCCTGGACCAGATAGTCAAACACCTCATAATTTGCTAGATATGTAACCTCCCTAACATACAATAAGCAATGCCCATGCTACATCTCAAAGATGTTGTCGGGATAGAATGATGTCATGTCTGTGAAGTGTTTCATATAAGGTAATTAGGTATACTTAGGTAAGGTGTTTGCATTGTTCATACCGAATTAAGCTATGATGATTAACATTCTGGTGAATATTATATTCTTTCATCTGTTTTTCATATTGCCTCAACCCAATTAACAGTATATTTAGCTTGTAAGCCATAAAGAAAAGTCTGTTTGCTTTCCCTGATAATGAAAGTAATAAATATTTATTATAGAAAACTATTAAAAGTACACACAAATATAAAAATAAAAATTAAGTGTAATGTTGTAACTAAGAAATAACCACTATATCCAAAAAAGCCATATTTTTATACTCTTATATGTGTGTATATAGGTATATATCTTTGTAAACTGCATTGTTCACTTACCAGCGTATCTTTTGCATATTCCTATTCCACAGTTCTATTTTTGCTTCCTCAAGTGCAGCCATAGTATTTTGACTTAAGTTGTGTCTCACTAAGCATGTAATACTGTGCCTTGGGTAGAATAAGTATTCAATACATTGGCTTTATTTACTTAAAGCCTTTTGATTGTTTAAATGTAAAATTATGTGAAACAGAACTTCTGTCTTCAAAGATCACAATTGCGTTCTTACTGATGAACTGAAGCCATTCCATGTAACTGTGACTTACTTTTCTTTTTCCTTTCCCTTCTGTTTAGTTTGTTGCCCAGCCCAATTGTCAACAACTGCTGGCATCTCGCTGGTATGATGAGTTTCCAGGCTGGAGGAGAAGACACTGGGCAGTGAAGATGGTGACATGTTTCATAATAGGACTTCTTTTTCCCGTCTTCTCTGTGTGCTACCTGATAGCTCCCAAAAGCCCACTTGGACTGTTCATCAGAAAGCCATTTATCAAGTTTATCTGCCATACAGCCTCCTATTTGACTTTTTTGTTCCTGCTGCTGCTTGCCTCTCAGCACATCGACAGGTCAGACTTGAACAGGCAAGGTCCACCACCAACCATCGTCGAGTGGATGATATTACCGTGGGTCCTGGGTAAATGTGTTACTATAGAAAATATAATAAAAACATGTTACTGCCATGGAATCTTGCTGCTCAGAAAATATTCATTAATGTTTGGGACCTAGGAATGTTTAGAACAGGTCCTGACTGTTGTAGCTCCAGGAACCTAACCCCCAAAGCTAAACAACCATTTTACAAGCTGCAGTCGACCTGCTTACAAATGCAACTTAAGAAATGTAACCTTAGGTTTTAGAAATACAGATATTAAGGACTTTATATTCCATGAATGACCCTTTGGTTTTTTGTTTGTTTGTCTATTAAAACTTTTCAACTCTCTCATTGACCCTATGTAAATAATCATTCTAATATTCCTAATAGATAAATCTTCTAAAAGCACATACAGATTACTCTGAAGAATTAGTGATTCTATACATAAAGTAACTGCAACCTTTTAAAAAAATCAATCCATTCAAATTTATCTTTGAAATCTATATCAATTTAAAATAATAGGAAATTAAATAATAGGACATCCTCCACTCTTTTTATTTTTGTCATAAAAGTTGTGTTGGGTCTGAAGCAAATCACTGTAAAGAAGAAAACCTTAAAGTAGCTACTGAAAACATTGTTTTCCTTTCTCCTTGTTATAGTTATGGTTAAAATTTACATTTTAAGTATCCTTTGCTCTATCATACTATGGTTTGCTGGGAAATCACATTTTCTCAATTTAGCTCACCATTTTAAAACTCTTTGCTATCATATCCATCTCATCATTTGGCTATTAGAAAATATGTGACAAATTTCATGATTCAAAATCTCAGAATATCAGTTTGGGTTAACTCTCAAAACTGC